CACACACACACACACACACACACACATTTTGTCCAATCAACATGAATGATGCAGTCCAGGCCTGTTCAGTCAGGTCTCTGTGACCTCTGGCCAATCAGAGCTTCTCAGCTTGGTCTAAATTAGCGTGTGATGCTGGTGAGCTGCAGCCGACCAGGCAAAGTGCAGACAGGAGTCAGTTTGTGATCTGCAGAGGAAACTCTGCAGCAGGTCACTGTCAATCAAAATCCTCATCTCACGGCCGACACTGTCAATCAAGTGTCCTTGTCGTCTGACAGAGTGACGTGAAGCTGCCGACCCTCCCCGTCACTCATCCTGCCTAGTGATTGGACCTCCTCGTAGGGGGGTGGGGGGTTGTCGGGGCTTTGAGAGGACAGCAGGGGGCGGTGGCTGCCGTCCGACTGGTGGCGGCCCGGAGCCTCCTGGGCCAAAAGGAGCTGGGTGGGTCCAGGTGCGGAGCAGGCGGGGAGGCGCTGACCCCAGCTTCCGTACACCGCCTCCTCGTAGGAGGGGAGAGAGACAGGAAGTCCGTCCACCATCAGGTCCAGCTGGTCCGAGGAACGACGGCTGATGGAAGAAACTGAATTATTCCATCTGCCAAGGAAGTGATGTTCTCACCTCTTCTTGTTAAACAGAAACTACTCAACACATGGTCGGACGGCTCGGAGAAGACATTGTGAGATTTGTGTTGAGAATAATTCATGGATCTTGAATTTGCTGCAGATTCAATTAAACAACAGTGAAGCAGCTTTGACCAAGACCCTGAATCTCCAGACCTCCGACCACCGGCCCCAACACAAAATACAAAAACCTCCATCTTCTTCTTACCTGTGAGACTGACAGGGGAAGAGGCGGGACTTGACGACCAGGCAGGCGGTTGTGGTGAGCAGGAAGATGGACACGCCCACCGCCGTCGTGGCCATGTTGGGCATCGAGTCGTTGGCTCTGTCGTCAGGGTTCACGTGAGGACTCTCTGAAGAGGAGACGGAGAAACACAACCACAGACAGATGAGGATTACACAGCTCTGCAGGAGGAACTGAGCGGCCGTCCAAACAAACGAAAGCCGGAGTCTTCTGAGGACATGTCCACAATACAAGTCACCAGTGGTTTATTTCAAATCTTTTTTTGTAGGAAAAAGACATTTGTAGGAAAAAAAATCCTAAATAGATCATCAGCAATATAAATATTCATAAAAATACAAAGATAAACATTTAATTTGTCTTTTAAGTTATAACCCAAAACAAGTGATGTGACCAGGAAGTAGATTATTTCTATTATTTGAAGCGTCCAGGTCCATGAGTTTCAAGTAGGTGTGTTTTATAAGTATTTATTATTATGGCTCTGCTTTAGTTGCAGGGTGGTTTTGTAGGTGTTGTCCCACACGTCAACACAGTAACTGAACATTCAAACCCAGAGTCAGTGTTTGCGCGTAGATTTAAGAAAAGATCTCTCAAACAGCTGAGAGGAGGAGCAGTTAGAGGAGGCAGCTGATTATCTGTCTCACTGAGAGAAAATATTCTGTGGCGATCATCAGATATAAGATCAGTTGTTTTTTTTCTCAGCCCAGTTCTGTGGTTTCTCCTCGCCCATGATAACACAGCAGCTGGTTTCCGAGAGCCTCTGAAGGTGTCAGAGGAAATGTTTAATGGTTATCACAGTGGCTCTGCCCTCTTCCTCTCTCCGCCTATGACTTCCTGTCCCAGAGCGTTCCAGTGAATCGCAACAGAGGAAGTCGGAACGGGTCTGAAGAAAAGTGAAGCTTCTGAGAGTCTGAGAGTTTCTCTGAAGTAGGTCAAAAGATAAACTCAGGTCTCAGTCTCAAGTTTTAACAGGAAGGACACTCAGGCCCCTCTCCTGATGATTAAGATCAGATGCTATTAATAAAAATAATATTATTAATAAAATATTGAATCTCTATATTACATACATTACATATAGATACAGATACAGATCAGAACATTATGTTACATTTTAGCCCAAAATGAAAGGTGAGACACTTGAAACCTAAAATCTGTAGAGACACGTGTTTCCAATTTTTTTAAATATCTTTCACAAATGTTTTGTATGAAGCTGCTTCAGTGCGTATCTCATTTGCTCACAGGTTATTCACTCGCTTTCTGTTGGTGACCTCACTGGGAATCAAACACTGGAACAATAACACAGCGTGCGCTTCCTGAACAAACAAAGAGGAGCTGTCGCAAAATGATGAATCTGCCTTTAACCTGTTTGGATCAACAATGGGATGATTCACGAGCAGATTATAAACAGAGGTCATCTCTGAGGAACGCTGTGATGATGATGATGATGATGATGATGCTGCTGCTGGGAAACGTCAAGATACGAGTGCGAGAAGAAGATCGCTGACTAACAGAGGAAGGAATGTTTAAGTCACATGACGTGAGTCCTCTTTGCATGACGATTTCATCCAACCTCCAGAGAGAGCAGGCAGCTGAAGCACGGGAGGGAATCGAACTACTGACCTGAATGTTTGTGTTCAGGACAGAAATAATCTACAAATGAACTTGTTCAATCTGATTAGTTATTACTTTAGTTTGTGTTCTCCTGATGTGAAAACAAAAGGTAACGTGTGTCTGTTATCTGCACGTTACCTGTTCACAGATACTTTGAACGTTATATTACTTGTGTTCCACATCTCCAGACTCACCCTTGAGGGGGATGCAGGCGGGTATCGGAGGCTGCCACCTCCCTTGGCGACACCTGGAGACGCGGGTCTTGGTGATGTGGTACCCGGGCTCACAGAAGACATGGATGGAGCTCTTCTGAGGGAAACCTCTGCACGGAGACGGGTCGCAGCGGAAACCTCCATGTTCAGGCACCAGGGGGTGGGAGCAGTTACTCAGTCTGCCTGCAGACACAAGAGACGATGTGATGAGATCGAAATTCTAAATGATCACTTCTTTCTACCTCACACCACTGATATGATCCTGTGTTTATATTTATTTCCCATAAATCCTTTCCCGTCTATGTTTCTCCTCAAAACCCTGCGCTCACACTCGAATAGCTCGGCTTTAAATTTGAACCCTGGAGTCCCTCAGGGTCCATCAGCAACAGACGATGGTGTCCTGAGCAGCGTCTGTCTGTTGATCTCTGTAACGAGACACCAGGTCGACCTGAAGGACAGAGTGTCTGTTTGTTTTCATGTTGTTGTGAGAAGACACCAGGTGAGAGGGAGACGAGTGAGTGTGTGAGAGGACAGAAGAGCGATGTTTCTCTGTCAACAGATGATGACATGAGGGTACTCGGCTGCACTGAGGCTCAGGGTTTGGTTTTCAGTGTATTTCCTGCTGCCTTCATTCACCAGCATCATAACACAGTCTTCTTATGTAACAAACATCCCACTCACATCCTAACAACTCACTTCCTCTATTTCTTCTTCATGAAGCCCAAACATCAACACGTGAAGAGAGGCTCGGGTGGAAAATCACTAGAATTTGTACAAATGAAGCTGCACGAGAAAAATCGTGTCTTCCGGGTTTCTGGGGAATTTAAGAGACGAACTGAGAGCAGAAGAATTGTCGTAGATATTTTTACAACACAATTTGATTTTGGAGAGAAAGAGGAACAGGAACAGGTCAGTTCATCATAATGTAAACTACAGCGAGAACGTTCTGATAAGAAGAGGAAGAACCAGACAGTTTCAAACCTGCCTCTTGTTATGTTCAATAAGTGATTCAAAAAAAAGTTTGATCAAGTTTGATTAAACAGTGGGTTTGAGTCCAGACCACAAGCGAACATTATATCTACAACGCCACACTGGGCACCCGACGCCACAGATCGCACCGCACGTTTCAGTTTGACTGATTGACTCTCAGATAACGTTAACAGATAATGTTCAACAATAAACCAACATGTTTACACGTCTACTTTCACCATCACTAACAGTCGTAGTGTCAGAATCATGTTAATCCACCAAGTAGTGATTGTAAGTGTTAAGGCATGAAGTCATGACGAGGCATAAATGTCGTCTCACACACACACACACACACACACACACACACACACACACACACACACACACACACACACACATATATATACACACAAAACACGTTTTTGTAAACAGAGTAGTGGGTCATTTTTCTACAACTGGGTCGACTTGCTGCAGGATTTAATAAATACTCTGAAGTGTAACCATGGAGACATAATGAACTAACAAACCCAGACAGAGGGGTTTGGGTGGAGTGGCGGGGTCAGAGGTCAAACCTGCAGCGAGGAGCGGTGACGAGGCCAAAAGGAGGAGGAGGAGGAGTCCACAGAGCAGACTGACGCGTCCACACAGACATGGACGCAGAACTGACGCCGACATCAAACCAGACTTCCTGAAGACACAGAGAGGTACAAGGTCAGATCTTCATCACATACATCATCTTCATCACCTTCATCATCTTCATCACCTACATCATGTGCATCAAACAACCATCACACTTATGTGAACTGATGTAAATTCCCCGCTGGCTCCTTCATGAAAATGTCGCCCGGCTCACAGGAAGTGATGTACTTTGTGTTTCCAGCCACATCAGTGACGTGGAGCTCAGGGGGTTAAAGTGCGCGACGATAAAACACAGACAACAAAAACTATTTCTACCTGCAGAAACTTCCACAGAGAAAAAAATCGGAAATAAAAACCACACCGCAGTCTGTGCAGCAGCAGGACCTGTGTGACGCATGATGTGAAGTCGTGTTGAGTGTCTTCACCCACTGAATCACACCTGACGTCTGGTTGATCAGTAGCTGCAGAGGAGACTATGAACTTTGCTCTTTGTGCTCTGTTGAGTTTCTGAACACGAGAAACAAACAAGCACAAACACTGTCAGGGTTTGTTTTCTCATTTATTAATAACTGACTCCAGGTTTTTTTTTTAAAACAACTAAGGAAAACATGAATCCACCATTTCCACATAGAATTATTTAGAATGATCTAATATTAACAGGAGGCTACTTTCATTAACGACTGTACTGGTGAGACAACCACTGAAAGCAGGATTGTAATGTGATTAAACTCGAATATATGAGACATTATAAGATTCAGACTTTCACTTTTCCTCCGCTTCAAGTCTGTGATCGGTGTTGAACTAATTTTATCAATTTTACAGAACACGATCTATTTTATACTTTGCCAGTGTGTTAACACATGTGGGGAAGAGGAAGTGATATAAGTGGATTTAATGAAACTGAAGGACACAGTCACTGTGTTTGACAAACGTTCAGTGAACACAACTCACAATGCACATCATGCACAGAACAGAGGGAACGCTGATGCTGCGTTCACAGGGATGCAGTGTGTGTGTGTGTGTGTGTGTGTGTGTGTTTGTGTGTATGTGGGAGGGGAGGGGGGGGGGGGGGGGGGGGACCCCACCAAAAACCTCACGTCACCCACCTGTTATAATGTCAACTGATTCTCACAATGACACTGGAAGATGTTTACGACAGAATCCATAAAACTCTCCACGCTCAAAGTAAAGTTCAAGCTCATAAAGTCATAAAGTCTCATAAACAGTCTCCCAACGAACAACAAGACGTTTATCATAATTGTCTGTGCTTCAGCCTGTGATGATGATTTTAGAGTTGTTATAAAACAAAATCAGATTAGAGTTGGATCTAATCGACATAATCCAGCAGCAGCAGCTTCGGACGCCGCTGTTCATTTTGACCATAGGCCGTAAATAAAGATGGACGACGTGTATCCACTTCCTCCTTCTCTCCAGAATTGAAGCCAGAGTTTCCTGATATGAGCTCCGCCATCTTGGAGCTGTGATTATTAGATGGAGCTGTGGCATCGAGGTCGATCAGCTGATCGCTGCTGTCAATCATGACATTTCATTGTGTTTTTATATATCGTCAAATAACCAACTGAACCAAACGCATCCAAAACATCAATGCGACAAATATTTTTCATCACTGCTTTTGTTTATGAAATTTTAAAAAAAGCCAATAATTTCCAAACCATCTCAACAGCAGGATTGAACAAGAAAACTGATTCACGAAGACACAAAAACTAAGACAAGCAGGAATGTTTCACATCTGAGAAGCTGGAACCAGAGTTCGATGAAACTATCAATGATTATTTCATTTTCACCAAAATAGAACAAATGGACATTATATATTAATTAATTGCACCGAATTGATCGACCTCAGATTTGTCAAATGTTTTTGTTGTATATAAAAACCATTGAAAAAACTCAGGATTTTAAATTAAAAGAAATAATTTCAATGTGACATGTATCTTAATAATTATGGATATCGTCTGATATGAATATCTTTATCTGATATCATCTCTCTCAGCTCTGATTTGATGCTTGAAGATCAGATTTATCAGTAAATGCACAGACTCATGTTTTCATCCCACACACACACACACACACACACAC